CCGCAGCGCCCGTGCGGCCCCCGGCCTTCCAAATGGAGCCGCCAGAGGTTTCGGTCTCGCTGGGGTAGAGGAACCGGTCCACATCCTCTTGGTGCAACATCCAAGCCTCGGTGCCCATCATGAAGCCGGAGTAGGGGCCCAAATAGATCTTCTCGGGGAAAAAGGGCTCGGACTCTGGGGGCTCCTCCTCACGGCCCGGGATGAGCCGGTGCAGCGTCGTGAAGCTCTTGAGCATGGGCGCCAGCTCGAGCACGAAGATCTCCCGCTTGAGGACCTGTGTGACCACATCCTGGAACTCGGAAAAGTACTTCCGGTCAACGCTGCACTTCCGCTTCACCTTGAGGAAATCGTCGAACCACATGAAGCCGTCATAGGTGTTATCGGACGGGTCCTCACGCATCCGGATAAAGCCCCATCGGTAAATCCAGAAGACGTCTACAAGGTCCTTCAGAGTTTCTCTGATCTCTTCATAGGCGCCTTCCATGTTGACACGCACTGACTTGGTTTCAAGAAGGTTGTATTCCTCTCTCCACATCACCATGAGACTTGTCGCGGCCAAGAGGTAGTTCGCAATGCTTAGAGCCCTTTCCGAAATCTTCGGGCGTTCCTTGATGTCTCGCAGAGCCGTCTCGGCCTCAGCTCTGGCCTCTTTGATCTTGTAGAAGGGGGCTTCATAGTCTAAATACTTCTCCAGCCAGGTTTTCACTGCGGTCATACGCGAACTGATATCTATAGCGACGCCACCACTTGGGACGTTGCGTTGGGTCCACTGAAGGGTTGTTGCAACCAGACCCTCCTTTGGGTCACCGGAGCGCCAGGACCAGAAGTGAGAGAGAAGAGTGGGGATAAGTTTCACTCTGGAGGGGTCTCGTGCCGCTCTGACTGCCAAAGCAACGAAGTGAGAAAGCCGATGCAGTGGCTCCTGCTTCTCCCACTTACCTTCCCACCTCTTCATGTAGTCTGAGCTGGCCCCACCTTGGTAGTGAAGATCTTCCTCCTCTTCCAGTTCCTCTTCCAGAGTGTCCGCTCTTGTCGGCCGAGCCAGCAAGCACTGCTCATCTGTGGCCTGGACCAAACCGCAGAGGCCGCAGAGAGCCAGTTGAACCGCAAGAATCATAGCAGGCTGGAGCTGAATGGAGGACAGCGAAACCCGAAACTTGAGCCAAAAGTATTCTATTTCCCAAATCAAAATCTGCGTGCTTGTGTGTGAATCTCAGTCACAGCCTCCGGAAGGTCTAAGTTCCTACTCAGATTCTCAAGCGTAGCTAATTTGAGTCTCCGCCAGCAACTACGAGACGGGACGCATTCTCGAGTTCTTTGGCCTCAGCAGCGGCAGCAGAGCGCTTTGCACCCTAAACCCCCTAAACCCTAAACCGAAGGGCAGTGGCCTTTCTTTACAAAGTAGATGGCAGTCTGCATGTCGCCGGCCGTCACAACCCGAGCCTGCCCCAGAGGTGGAAAGCTGCAAGAATCGGCAACATCTCAACAGGTATTCTAGATTCTATAGGTTTAGTGTTTTTTTGCACGACCCTTTTCCACTCGATGTTTTGAGTTTCGACTCACACACTCGCAAGGCAGGCATGGCTCACAGTGTCCGTGTTTTGGGTTTAGGGTTTAGGGACAGGGTCAGGGATGTCAGGATGTGGGGCTTCGTTCGCCGCCTTGTCTTCGAAGACTTCTGAGAAGGTCGCCTGGGAGGTCTGCAACCCGGCGGCAGCGCGATCAAAATGAGACGAGTACGAATGACAGCAAGAATATATCATGATCATCATGAGAACGAATATAAGAATGATCGCTGAAAAAAGACGGTGCACCTCTGCCACGCAGGTCTTCTGCTTCTTGGTGAGGCCCTCGAAGATGCTCATGGAATCCAAAAACTTGAGGGTTTCGGCCTGGCAGGGTGGGTTAGGATATTATAGGGTTTAAGGGTTTTTGGGGGTTTAGGGTTTAGACAGGGGGGGGGGGGCGGAGGTGCTCTTTCGACGTATCTTCTCTGTTGCGGAAATGCCGGGTTTTGCCTGGTGTTTGGTGGCGTTCTGCTGGAGGCTCTCCTTGAAGGCAATGCCACTGGCCTGAGTAATAGTAATGGTAACAGTAGTAGTAACAGTAATGGTAATAGGAATAGCAGAACCGGCCAAGTTTCCCAAGGATTTTTCATCTGCCGCCCTTTTTTCAGCCAAGAAGCGCCCCAGACCTCGCTATCCGCTGTGGCCTTGACGGTCGCCGTCCTCGTGTGGGGGTGAGTGCTACACTGTGCCAAGATGCAGTGGTGGTTTCCTGGGACAGTTGTACAGCAGGGCCAGGCCACCGAAGGCACAGCCTGCGCAATGCAAGCCAGTCTGGCAGTGACTTGGGTGAAAGAAGAGACTCACCTGCACCGATGGTGTTGCAGGTGATGCCCTTCACCTCATGGGAGCTTCTGTTGCACATCCCGTTGGGAGAAACAGAAGCCCGAACATCTTTTCTGCAGACCCAGACACGCTTACTTCCATCGATCCTGTCTGCGTCACAAAGAACCTCGGGTCTTCGCCCAACCCAGGAATCCCATCTCACAGAATACTGCTGTCCGAGCCACGTTGTTCCAAGACGGCCCTCCTGGATAATGGGCGTGCCCTTGTCGAACTTGAAAAACTGCAGGGGGGGCAGGGCTGAAGAAGCTTCTACGACGAATAGTCGCGAGCTTGACAGGGCAAAACACCTTCACAGTGTTCAGAATGGACTCGATCTCTGCGTCATCCAGCCTCGGCAAGTCTGCTTTCCCGGAACACTTCCCGCCCTTCCTGAACCATCCCGTCGTCGGCTGAAGACACGGCCCCCAGCAAGGAGTAAAGTAGTTTGAGGATCCCGAGTTACAGTGCGATCCAAATGTGACTCAAGCTCCTCCTGGGCCCGGGCGTGGCACACAACCGATCCTGCTTCATCGCATTCTTCAGGAAGGTCCGGGTATCGCTGTCCTGCAAAACTTCGGCTTTTCTGAACTGGCCCGGGTTGCCATGCAAGAGCTCTGAGGCTCTGAGTGCCCTGCAATTTCCTTTGCGACCTCGCAGCCGTGTGAACCACGGTGAGATGCCATGACGACACCGCGGGGGGCATGACAAGAAGGCCTCGAATTTCTCGAGGTGCTCTTCCACTGGGGGAGGCTTCCTGGATGTGCTCCTGAGATGTGCGCCAGCATCTAGAAGCATCCAGAAACAATGAGCGCGGGAAGCGACTGTGGAACCGCAGCATCTGCAGCTTGTTCTGCGAGCAAGGTGCCCCACTCGTTTTTGAGTTGCCTTTCTGGCGTACTCCCTCTTCTTATCCTCCACACCAGCGACTGCGTGAATCAGACGAGGCCTGCTTGCCCTCAAAAGTGGCCTGTGGCATTGCCAGGCTGCTCATCTCTGCAACAGGAAGAGCAGCCAGGAGCCACGATTACCCTTAACGGCACAAGTTCTACGCAGCATTCTGCTGTGAAAAATGTCACAGCTACAACTCCAAAGCTGGCTGCAAAGGGTCGAAGCCAAGGTGCTCCGTAGCCGCGCCGTGAAGTCCAAAGGGGCCACTTGCAAAGCTCAGCAGAGAACCCCTATCTTGCAGTTCAAGGACTGGCTTAAACTACGCGTCGCTTTATCTCAGCTTCTTCAGCTTATTCATGGCTGAAGCAGTCTATATTCTGTGCTGTCGGGTTGGTGCCTGTCGGCACTGCGTATGCGCTGCCTGATATACTGTCTCGGAGCTGGTGTATGCATGTCTGCGCAGGTGGCTTTAGCTTGTCTAGCTTAAAATGCTTCTGCATGGCACCTGGCAGTAAAACAGCTGCGACATGCGCAGAAGCTGTGCGTGTGTCAAGCATCTATGGCTTCATTCTCGACTAGATCTTCTGCGCCGGTTGGCCGTGGGACTTCACTTCAATTGATTGACAGGACTGCGTCCCTGCGGGACCTGGGCTGCAACAAGCGCGGCTTCCTGGCCAGGCAGCGACTCCGATGATGTCTCGCGAGCACAGATTTGAGACGTTAAGACTTTAAGTCACTTCTTTCGGAGTGATGCAGTCTAGCAGTCTTCACATCATTGTGGCTTTGAAACCGCGACTCGACTCTTGCCTGCAACACCAGTTCACCAGCGTCGAAGTCTCTTTGTGCAACCTGCAGCAGAGTCTTCAGTTCAGAAAGCACCCAGCATTTTGCGTTTAGCGAAACTTCACGGACATGTGCCGAAACAAGTGCAAAGTCTTCAACAGCGCATCTCAGTCATTGCTTTCAGTTGGTCATCTTTGCATGTGAGACTTGCAGGTGAGCTGAAGTCCTAGTAACCCTATCATCTTCAGAACTTCTTGACAGTCGCAGTGACCGTGCGGGCTTTCGGGCTACCCTTCCTGCCTGGGATGTGCAACGAGAGGAACGGGCGCCGCTGGGACGCTTCTTGGCTGTCGACCTTTGCTATTATGTTTATTGCTATTATTATTATTATTACAATTATGATTATTGGTATGATTAGTATTATAATGCGATCCAAGCAAGCATCATCCGCCCTAAGTCGAAAAGCCCAAAATTCGAGTTCCGAGCCGTTTCTGCTTGCTTCCATGGTGGGCCGGCTTACGCAAGACCCGAGGTCCCATGGCAAGAGCATCAACCGCGTGGCGGGTTTGACATAAGCCGCAATGTCATTCGTTCGGCTGCTTCTTGGATTTGAACAACCGAACCATCCATCCTTGGCCTACCTGTTGATGCACTGCAGGGCTGAGCCCTCCAAGTAAGTCCCGCGGCTATCTCACCACCAGACGTCTCCTTAACAAGTGCTTTATCTGTCAATGACTAATTAGTGGAAGCGAGCAATGGCATGTCGATGGACAGATTTGGGGCCGTACACGTGGAGAGTTCCATCGTCTGTCCCACATTGAGATGCAAAGCTGCAGCCGAATGATGAGATTCACAGGAACAGGAGCTGAGGCAACAATGAGAAAAGCGACGGAACAAGCCGAGCGACGACTGCGGAGCAGGTTTGCATGGACAACTCGCTTTTCTTCCGGAGCCGCATAGATGCCAGTGGCCTGAAGAAGGTGTCTAGCAGTCTAGCTTTCGGCTATGGCTCCAAGTCTGGCAAGCCATGACGTCTTGAGGCCTGCGCGTGTTGCTAGATGTCGCTGCCTCTCTGCTGATTGCAGCTCACCAGCTGTGCTTGGGAAAATCTGCGACGGTCCGCTGTCTGGGAACCTCCCCCGCAGTATCGGGAGTTGCCATTGCGATCATGAAGCATCCCGTGGCCAACTCAAGAGCTGGCCGCGAAGCTCGGATCTCAAGAAGATAAACTCCGTCGCAGCTCAGCAAGCTTGCAACAGCTAGTCCTGGAACCCATTGAGTGTTCTCCTTTCGATTTCATGTGTTGAAGATATCCTCAAAAGTCCCTCATGGCACGCGTGCCCCTAATCCATCTGCCGGAGAAGAGAGCACCTCAAGCCTGCACCGTTGAAGCTCATTGGCCTCCAGTGCCTACACCTGGGTTCTAAATCCGAGACCCACTGAAGGCACGTTCGCCTCCAGTGCCAGGCGCAGTTCACCTGGCAGCTCAGACGCAGCAAGTAATGGTCCGGGTCCTGCCAGCTTTCTGAACAAATCAGAACGTGTCATATGCTGTTCATATGCTCCGACATGGAGATTTTCCGCCAGCATTGGAAGATCAACGCACAACGCGCAGAGTTGCCAACTTGCGGGTTCCATGGTCTCCTGGTACCAGAAAGCTTTCCGAATACAGTCAACACGTGCATATCTCGTCAAAACTAGTTTGGGGCACTTTGTCTTTGCAGGGCACGTTTCGACGTCTGAGACATGTGTCTCCCAGTTCCAAACACAGCATTGTTCTTCAACGCTGATCTACAGGCTCTTGCTGTGCAACTATGGGCACCGCCCAAGCGGTGCAGGGCACAAGTTTGGGAGATCAGGCCGAAGCTTTGGCCTTTGGCCACAGCACAGCGGAGACCAGGAAGGCGGATAAACAAAAAGAAGGAACCGAACGCGGATGCTATGAGGTCTGTGACACAAGGGTGCGATATGGTGCGATGCACATAACACAAAGAAGCAACAGACACGACACGGAGACACCGACATGACGACACAACACGAAGACGCGACCTGATCAGGCACGAGATATGAGGGTTCAAGCGCAGCGGCAACTATTATGAGGATCACCCCGACATGCACGGAGCGAAACACTGCCACCCCAAAGCGCCAAGCCAAAAGAGACCTTCTCTCAATGCAACAGCTCCAAGGTGAATTCGACAGCTTACTGGCTCCACGACTTGGGCACAAACGTCACGGTTTAGAGAGTTTAGGGCTTATAGGGTTTAGACTTTAAGGGCAAAGGAGTCGCGGGCCTCAATGCCCAAAACCTCCTCGTCGGTGTCCGGCTCGAGGCCCTAAGTCTACAAAACCGCAGCCGCGTCCGCACTTGGAAGACACGCAACCCTCATCAGCAGTGCATCATCCTGGCTCCACGCCGCACTCCTTTGGCAAGCCAGATGGGCCGTTCCACATGTTCCATGCGCCTTGTGATTCAGGGGATCATAGGGGACAGCACAAGGAAGAGAGCAGACATGGCGAACAACGACCACGGGACGGTGCCTCCAACCAGGCCCATACTTTCGAAGCCTCAAGTTTCCGGAATCGACTCTCAAGATCTCATCACATGGCCCCATGAATCCATGGACATGTCACTACCCATCGGACTCTGAAAGCCGACATGCCCCATTTTCTCATAGTTGCATCATGTCCGCCTCATCACCTGTGTATTTTTCTTGCGAAGGTTCTACATCTCTGCCATTCGCATCTCCTTTAGATCAGTGCGCACTTTCGCAGCTCGCTTGAACTTTCTTGGCGGCAAGCTTTGCCTGTAAGACTCCGTTGGCTGCCTTGCAGGCTCAAGGAGCTGGCACGCCATTGTGTGACTTAGCTTTTCCTGGCCCCTGCCCGTGAGCCGGGAGGGACAACGACAGCTCCTTGCTCTTGACTTGCTCTCCGTGCTCCACATCAGTGGGTTAAAATACACATCATCCCCATTGTGGACGCTCCTGGAGAGAATTACAGAACTACCCACCAGCGGCAAGAACACACATACCAGAACATGCAAAACCTGATGTGGACGGTGATGTTTCGACTGGCTTTCACAACAGTCTGGAGCGCCGGCAGCCAAGGCCCCCGGAGCCGCTGCGTTTTGTATAGCCACAACTATGGAGCCTACAAGGCCCAATCTGCCAAACACGCTCGAGCCGTTCGAGTTGCACATAGATTCACGCGCCGAGCGACGAATCTTGGAATCTTTGAAGTGCCTGGCTGGCCAAACGCACCTCAAAGAACGTGGCTGCCTGAAGTGCACTTTTCCAATGTGCTCTCCACTGAAAGAATACAGCAAGCATCGAAACTTCGAAAGGTTCGATGTGACTGCGTGAAGTGTGTGCGGTCCCATTGTGGACGCTCGCCGATGCGAATGTCAACCAAGCGATGAGAGATAAATCTATTGCCTGGATGTGCGCCCTTGTGACATCATGTCAAAGAAAGGAAAGGCAAGCCGGTTGACGTCCCTGGCATGCCACTCGAAGCCTTGACCATGTGCGCATGCTCACCGCGAAACTCCTTTGATTAAGGCCGCCACGCTGCACTCATTGAGCAGTTTGACAGTTTTTGCCCACGCAGCCTATCGAACCGGGGCAAACATATCCAAACTCGCAATTGGAAAAGGAACCTTTGTCCTGCAACCATGCAGTGGCCTCCATCCCACCAACCCACACATCCCGGCTCCCATGGAGAGCCAGAGGAAGGCGCACCTCCAAAGGAGAAACTGCAAGGAAAACGGGGCAGGCCCTGAGGTAAAATGCAATTCGCTGTGGGCCTGGCCTCTTCCGTATTTTGCCAGGTGCAGAACATGTCCTAGTATGGTGAAGTGCTGCGACCTTCCAGACTCTAGAGCATGTCCGCCCGAGTACACTGCCAGTTCGCCTCGCTCCACGGGTGCTTCTAAGGGTCCGTGGTTGCTCTTGGTTTGCTTCTGTGAACGCTGAAGAGCACCCTAGACTCGTTTTACAACCTTTTTCGTACCGTCAAGGCATTCAACATAAATCCATGGAGGGGGGGGGAAGCACTGAGCAGTGCGACTCGGCAAACCCCCCGGAAGCCCCTGTCGCTGTCACTTTTTCACTTTAGGCACAGCGTCCAGGTCGGAAGAAGCCTAAGACGTGCAGTAATTAAACGTGGGAGGTGGCACAGAACTCTCTAAACATAGTATGCGCTCACCAGACAGGGGTGGGATGTAACCAGCAAGCGGAAAAGCTGTCCCATCCCCACAACAAAATCAAAGATGGCACATGGACGATGCGTTCAAATTCCTGTCGCTGTCAGTCAGCTACAATG